CTTATTGCATTATGAATTAAATCATATTTTTATTTATTTGTAATACATGTAAGTCTTAATAATTTCACCAAGGAATTGTAATTCTATTTATATGATATTGCTCATTAATCCTTTTCATAAGATAATACTTATGAATCATTTTAATGTAATAAATAATAAAATCATTTGTTTCGCAAACAAAGCAATCAAACAATCATTACATCATTTGCTTCGCAAACATAACATTTTATTTAATTTTTAACTTTAAAATGCACTCATCATGGTCTCTTATTATATGTGGTTTATGATATCCACGTATTACACACTAAAATAATTGTTATTTAATATACAATACATTTAAAACATTTAATAAAGATTTATTCATTCATTGTCAACTCTTATCAATTTATATGACATTATCATTAAATATTTGATTAAATATTGCATTAAAATGCACTAAAGTATGTGGCTTATTAATAGATATATACAATGTTTTCATAATGTACTCAACTGTAATATATTTTATTTTGAAAAATATATTTTATTTTATAATTAAAACAAAATTATTCTCTTATTTTTATCAGGAAGCAGTTTTTATTTTATTTATATACAAAAACTATTACACTGATCATATTTGATCTATCAATATCTAATATTTGTATTTTTGTCTAGTATTATACTTTTGTTTTAAAATTTTCAACTGTCCTAACATTTGTTTTCACTAAATAACTTTTACAGGTATGAAACAATTAATTGTATAAATTAATTATTTTACTATTTATAAATATTGTCAAAAATAATAAAAAACATATTAAGTTATATGTACGGTATTATCAAATATTTACATTGATCAGTTAGTTTCTTAATCGTTTCCTATGAAAACCTTCCATTAAATCATCAAAAAGTAATTATTTTTAAACAAAATGTTATACAAAAAACTGAAGGATATCTATTAAAAGACAATTAATTCATAGACCATTATGAGTGAAATGAATGAAATATGATTTCATAAAAATAGACATAAATTTTCCTGTTTTTGGTTCATCGGTAGGTCTTTACTCGAACTTTCCTATTCTGTCGGTTCGCAAAGGAAATACTAATCAATAGTATAGATCCGATTCTGCCATCAATTGCTGTTCACTCACAGAATGTTTCTCAGAAATAATTAAAACGAGAAATTATTAACAAATTGATTAAAATTTTATTAATCAACGTCTAAATTATAATATAAGTTGACGTGTATTTTAACATTTTAATAATCAAAGACCACATTTGTTATTCAGAAGTTGTGAATTCATTTGAAAAAACAAAATACTTTTTCCGAGAATTTCGTTATACTTGCCATAGACTACAAGTGGAGATAATTATTGAACAAAATGAACAACAAAAACGAGTGGAAAGCATTTGATGAGACTTTTAATAAAATACTATCGGCGGTAGTGTCGGCCCAACAGTGCCAAGAGTTGGCCGAACCCATGAATTGGCTGCGAGAGTGCATTAAGTATAACGTTCCGCACGGAAAGCGCAACCGAGGGCTGGCAGTCGTGTCGACCGTCCGTATTATCGCTGAACAACAGAAACGAAAGACGACGGAAGAGGAGCTGGAGTTGGCCCGAGTGCTCGGGTGGACCGTTGAGTTCCTTCAGGCATACTTCCTGGTGGTCGACGATATGATGGATCAGTCCATCACACGACGTGGTCAGCCCTGTTGGTACAAATTGGTATGTCTTGCCATTTTGAATTTTATATTCAATGTTCAGTGAATTGAGGGATGATTAGAGAAATGAATGAAAATCATTGTATCTTAATGTCCGTTAATTACATCTGAGAAGGGAATACGAATTGGGTCTCAGGAAAAACATATAAATTTATCTTTCAATGTTGATTACAATATTACTCAAGAAATATTGAAACATAAATTATATGTGAGCCCAGAATATGAGATGAGTCTCTGAAAAAATGCTTTTATTTCTTATTGAAACATTGCTTTTCTGTAAAGTTTGAAATTTATAAGGTTTAATATAAGTAAATTTCAAACTTTACTGAAAAGCAATGTTTCAATAAGAAATAAAAGCAATTTTTCAGAGACTCATCTCATATTCTGGGCTCACATATGTTTTTTGGACTCAATTCGTATTACATTCTCAGATATGGATCCATAAATAATTGGAGGGCTCTATACTATATTAGTATAATAGTAACTGTTATTGTTTGTCAATTGCTTTAGTTTGTAATAATAAGTTAAATA